ACCGCAAGAAAGGAGTGAGTGGTTAAATGATAGAAGTGTTGAATTCCATCAGTCCAGTGATCCATGTAGAGAAAGAGAGAGAGAGAAACAGCAGGCTGAGCCTCCTCTTGTTTCATTCCTCCCTTCGTGTTGGTTCATTTTGAAGGATTTTCTACTGGAACAATATAAGCTTTGTTGAAGTTAACAAACAATAACCACTAAAACACACACACACACACACCATTATGACAAACACACTCGCTCTGAACCTGTTGGCAGTGAAGACAAATCTACGTTTTTGGTCTTTACATTAGGTTCTTCTGTCTGTACTTGGATGTAGAATTACAGGGAAGTCGGTAAGGCTGGATGGTTATTGCATTTTAATTTTCTTCCACAACACACACACACACACACACACACACACACACACACACCAGCGATCTGATTGGATGAGCTTCTGGAAGCAAAAGAAGATCTAATCTAGCTGTGCCTGATCTGATGAGTTGTGTGTGTGTGTGTGTGTGTGTGCTGGAGTGACCTGTCACTGGCACTCTGTGTTATGTCGACTGCATTAGAATGAACACTGACCCAAATCTCACAGACAAACACACATGCTCACCCACCGAAAGATCGAAAACCTTTAGCAGCTACATTATACCTCGTTTGTCTGTCTCCCGCAAAGCTGTTTTTCAGATCTTTTTGCGACTACAGTGGTCTTTTCCCTGAAGGCTCAGACCGGAGCTGTTGGCTATTGTGGCTAACTCACTCAGCGAAGCGTCTTTTCCTTCTGCTCTTTGTTTCAGTTACTCATCAGTCAGAGACTCGAGGGAAACAGCACTGGGCTCTGCCGACTGAAACGTAAAATGTTGCAGTTGTCAAAAATAATTGTTTCGAAAGCCTGACTCAGCTGTGGTTGTGAACATTTGAAGTGTGTTCATTGAGGTTTGGATTCTCTCATTCTGTGAGACGTGATGGGAGAACTTCAGCTCAATCAGGGCCTGTCATGTTGATTTAACAGCTGCATGATCATACTCGAAAATATGGTACAAAAACCTGAGCCATGCAGCTGAATATTCAACGCTTGCTTTGAAACGGAACTGTTCTTCAGTCCTTGATGTTAGAGTCTTTAATATTTGGAGAAAAAGGAATGTTCATAGTATGACTATAATTTCCCAAGTCTCTTAAGCTACTGTATTGAATTATTATTATTATTAATTATAATAAAAATACAATTCCATACAATGACTTAAGGGACTAGAAGAAATGATCATCATTATTTATTTTAGCACATTAAATTTCTTTTAATTTTTGCTCTTGTTGCTTGTTACTGGGTTTATTTGTCTTATTCTATTATTATTTTCACTTTTAATATGTGTTTAATTAATATATATTTCTATTTTAATTTTTGTGTATTTTTATGTAATTCATTTGAATCATTTTGAGTTGCATTTTAGTTATGAAAAGTGCTAAACAAATAAAATTATTATTAAAATGATTATTTATTATTACAATTATTAATATTTACTACTAGTTGTCAGTATCTACAGAACAGGGTAACTGAAAGCCATAACATATTTGATCATTTTATACATTATTTTCATCAAATTGCATTATTTACACAAAAATTTACTCGAAATGGCCATTTAATCAGACTATATATTCATCTTTCACTATATATTTGTAACATCATTGCAAAGCTGTGAGCTGAAAATACTGCCCCCAAAATACTGTAATAATACTGTTTTGGTTGTGTTTTTCCATTTCAGGGATTGTGTGTGTGCTTGTGTACAAGTCTAGATGTGTGTGTGTGTGTGTGTGTGTGTGTGTGTTTGATAAAATATGAGGCAGGCATGAGATGGCTCCATGGTGGCAAAAGAATGAGCGTACAGCTACAAACAAATGCTGATACACACACTCAAAAAAAGCACACCCACACTATATGTCAGTCAATAAGAGATGCTAACTGGGGCAACACTATATTTATTGTGACAAGACTGAATATTTCATTCTTTGTCTCTCTCTCTCTCTCTCTCTCACACACACACACACACAAATAGAGGCAGATGGTAAATCCCCAGCCCCTTCACATTTTTCTAATGTGTTTACACCTTGTTTTAAATCTAAATCATGTTAATCTCCCAGTGTGGTCATTGGGGATTTGTGTGTTTATGTGTTTATGGTATATACTTTTAGAAATACCTGCTTTGTTCTCTGTAATGATTTTGCTCTTCTTGGAATTTAGTTCGACATGAGTCTGACTAGAAATAAAGAGTCTAATTCCATCCATAAAGCAAATTTCCTTTTTTTTTTCTTTTCTGCACATGGGCAGGAAACTATTAAGACCGAAATGTTCTGACCAGTTAAAATCCAGCAGTGATGTAGTGACAACAGAATGTGCCCACAAAAATGCTTCATAGCAAATCCATCCTTGCTAACAGTACACAGGGTAGGATTACCCTGCCTGTCTGGAATGTGAGTTGTGTTTTAGCCTGGAGTGAGTGTGTGCTGGAGTTAGGATGGGGTGTGTGTGTTTGTCTGTTGAGCAGCACCGTGTGATGCTATTCCATGGTTGGCACGGTGACAGGTTGGCATGGCGCTACCGTAAGGAGGCTGGCACTCTGCCTACTGCCATACATCTCAATCTGCATGACATCATAGCAGCTCCTAGCAACCACACACATCACCCCTCCCCCATACACGCCCACAAAGGGCCATTCACAAGCACAGTGCCCTGGCCTTTCTCCATCACTGGAGTCTCTCTTTCTGAGCTCAGATTCATTCTGCCGCTATGAAGTTTCATAAAGACAATACATGTCAAATCAATGATAACTAGAAGAAAGAAAAGACTTTCCTCTTCAAGTGATGGTAATGTTAAAATGGAAGGGCCAAATATTTTTAGGGAATATTTAAGAGCCAAATGATCTGTTTAGCTGCCAAATTACAGAATCTGTCATATTGATGCTGTCATTGAAGTGATCCTTATTGTGTTTGCCCCATATAAATGCTAGACTGTTTCCTAAGAATAGTTCTGCCTATTTGAAAAAATATATTGTCCAATATTGTGTTGATAATGGTTCCAATATCTATAAAACTCTGTTATGAAAAATATTGAATTAATGGTTCATTTCAAATCAGACTGAACTGGAAAATGATTAACAGTTTAGTGTGGGAGTCAGTTGCAATATCTGTAATGGCTCTGAACGATTCACTCAGAACCAGCAATTCAGATTCAGTCTGCTCATCACCCCTCCCCAATACACGCCCACAAAGGGCCATTCACAAGCACAGTGCCCTGGCCTTTCTCCATCACTGGAGTCTCTCTTTCTGAGCTCAGATTCATTCTGCCGCTATGAAGTTTCATAAAGACAATACATGTCAAATCAATGATAACTAGAAGAAAGAAAAGACTTTCCTCTTCAAGTGATGGTAATGTTAAAATGGAAGGGCCAAATATTTTTAGGGAATATTTAAGAGCCAAATGATCTGTTTAGCTGCCAAATTACAGAATCTGTCATATTGATGCTGTCATTGAAGTGATCCTTATTGTGTTTGCCCCATATAAATGCTAGACTGTTTCCTAAGAATAGTTCTGCCTATTTGAAAAAATATATTGTCCAATATTGTGTTGATAATGGTTCCAATATCTATAAAACTCTGTTATGAAAAATATTGAATTAATGGTTCATTTCAAATCAGACTGAACTGGAAAATGATTAACAGTTTAGTGTGGGAGTCAGTTGCAATATCTGTAATGGCTCTGAACGATTCACTCAGAACCAGCAATTCAGATTCAGTCTGCTTACAAGCAAGTTTAAGATCTGTTATCACTTAGTCATTAAAACCAACCAGTGTATTATTAGTCATTCGTTTGCCCGAATTTTTTCATTTTTGACGATTTTAGTTGCAGTCTGAAGACCTAATGCTGTTTTTAAGTATGCAAAACAAGTACTCCCAGTGCGCTACGCCTCATGTCATGCGTGTACGAAAATGCATTAGTGTGCGAAATGGGACGCACCTTTTGTCTTTGATTAGCAGGACAACAGGAAAAACTTCCAAATTAAAATGATCTTCTTGTGTTTAACAGTTCTAGAAAAAATGTCAAATTAAAATGTCAAATCTAGTGAGGACTCATCGACAGGAGTCTGTGTGATGGCCATGAACGTGTGTGTTTTTGTGAAGTATATTTTCTTATCTTACCTGTTCTATAGTTCCTCATTAGTGCTTACACATACACACATGCACTCTTAGCACTTCTCACTCACACCTCTAAATGAGCACGAACTAATGGAAACTAATAATGTGTGTATGTGTGTGCGTGTGAACTTGTGTGAGTGTAATTGGGGGTTAAATTGAATGAAGGTGGATCACCTGCTGTGACAATATCGGTTAATTTAACTACATAATGGGAGTGTGTGTTTGTGTGTTTTATATATATATATATATATATATATATATATTTATATATATGTGTGCGTCTCCTATTCAGAGCAAACTCACTTTCTTACACCTATGTCTTGGCAACACGGCCCTTAGCACATTGTGGCATATATTTAGGTCTGTCTGTGTCTCCGATCACTCAGACTCACAGGGATTATTCTGCAGGAAACATTGAGGCTCCTGGGCCTACGCAAGAAAATTCATACACATGGCTTTTCTAATAGCATGGCGGTGTGTGCGTTTGTGTCTGTGCATTCCCATGGGATCAGATTACTATCATAGGGACTAGTAACAGGAGAATACACTGGAGCTTTTTTCATCTTGTCCATATTCTGAGACACACACACAAACGTTAGTTTGTTTTTGGATGTTTCTAAGGTAATATTAGGTTGCAATGTCTGATTTATTAAGCATGTGCTTGTGTTGATTTATAGAGGTAAATTAGGGTTTCCTTTTCCTGCTTTGGTTTACAGCAAGAACTCCAATCAAAAGTCTTATAAATCTAAACCTAATTCACCACGACAATCACAAAACCCCTCTCCTTTTCTCTCTCTCTCTCTCTCTCTCTCTCGCTCTCTCTCCAGCAACTTCTAATGGAACACAGGAAGGGTTGGAAAACAGAGAAGGTGGGGTTTGTAGCACAAGATCCATGAAGATCATCATGAAAGTGGGCCAAGGTGAGTTACACACGCACACACTCACTCACACACACACACACACACCCACACACACACACACACACACACACACCTTCTTTATCTTCAGCATGTCCAAAGGTAAAGTCATTTAAGCCCCATTTGGTGGATGATTAAGTCAGCTGACTCATTAACTGCCACTTAGATTGCAGTTAAACATTATCCAAGTTAGCATTACTTCATATCGTTCACACTCTTCTTCATTTACATTTACACAGAATACACATAGTTTCTGCCCTTAGATTTTGTACTCTGACTCGTAAGCAGAAACAGGTTAGTTAGACATAAAAGGATCCTGACACCAAAATCTAAACGGATACATTCAAACATATGCTGTACTGAAATTAATTTCCTTGAATGTTTTTGTTCCTAATTTGTTATGTATGTGATTGTATGTTACAGATCCAAATGCACCAGATCCAGATTTAACAGACCTCCCAGACCGGGACCGGGACAATGAGATCAAGGACCCCACAACCAGCCCTTCCCGCAAGATAGACCGAGACCGAAGCAGAGACGCAGATGGGAACGGATCCATAATGCCCGGCAGAGGTGAGGAAACACAAATCATCTGTGTTTACACCAGCTGGTTCGGGATGATGATGGTGTTTTCCTATAAATGACATTGGATATTTAGAGGACAAACTGATCTGAGTTCAGCAGCGAAGATCTACCACAGTAAATTTCACTAAGAATGCCAGCGTATGAAATGCAGCAATGCAGAGCTACTGCCTCCCTCAGGCAGCTGCGTGTGTGCAAGAGAGAGACAGGAGTTAATGTAGCATGTCTTTATCACGTCCTTGCAGCCATTAACCTACGGGAGGTTTTAACTTCATTAGGAGAGAAAGAAAGAGAGAAACAGAGAGACAGAATCATTAAGAAAGAACAGAGCGACTCGCGCTGCATCTCTGCAGTGATCACACTGCACAGATTTTTGAGGTCAGATTCTTCTGCTCTGAGAGGACACATTAGACTCTGACATTAACTGCTATTGCATCTTCTCAAAACCAGCTAGTCGGTGGGTTATATGAACGACTAGTCGACTAATTGGTATAATTAAGCTAGGTTCGGCATCACCTGATTCCATTTGGACATTCTTGAATTATTTGGTCTGCTTAAACCCTGCCACTTTCTTACAATCGACCTCAAGCTCACATTCAGATCTACCTCCATCCAATCAACAATTGGTGGATAAAACCAAGTTCCTGCCCTATATTTTTTCTTTTTTGATCATCTGTTTTTACTTGGATGTACACCACAATATGGAAGAGTATTTGTTGCTACTTCTATTTCATTGCGACTATTTTAACTTAAGACAAACTGTCTTAAAAACACTTGTGATGGGACACACAACACAAAAATGTGCTGCTTTAAAACAATGAATTTAAAGTTGTAACTTTTTTTTGTGTTTTACCGTGCAAGCTCTGTCAGCATGCTAAAGCACCACCATTGAAATACATGCATCAAAAGTAAAGTTTCAAAAAAAAGTTTTGAAATATGAACTGCACTGCTGTTCCAAAGTTTAGGGTCAGTAATATCTCTTTTTAAATTTGTTTTCACAACTGTTTTCAACATTGATGATTGCAAGAAATGTTTCTTGAGAACCAAATCAGTATATTAGCATGATTTCTGAGGGATCATGTGACACTAAAGGTTGGGTAAATGGCTGCTGAAAATTTTGCCATAGCAGGAATCAATTACATTTTTAAATGCAGTTTTGATGAGCATAAGAAACTTCTTTCAAAACCATTTTAAAAAATCTTACCGACCCCTAAACTTTTGAATGGTAGTCAACCTCACTAATCAACTATTGGATGACTTAAATTTAGTGTATGACATTGATATACACGGCTAGAACTTTGCATTGCTAGCATTGCTGGTAGTATTGTTCATTGCTGGACTACTGTTTGAAAGGATTATTCCAATCTGGGTGTGTGTTGTTTAGCTTCATACTGCCGTTAAATGTACTTGACAACATGGATTTTATTGTCAAGCAAAAATGTGTATTCATAATGCCTATTTAGCTGCAGGAGTCATCGGTAGCTATTTCAGCTGGCAGCGCAACAATAAACGCAGCAACAGTTTTATTTACTTTAAAAGTAGCTCAGTGCCAACGCTAACAAACTCAGAGGTTTGTTTCTATAGCCATTGTCAGTTATCTTTGCCTCAGAAAACAGAGAGCGACTCTAAACACTGATAATGAGAGCATGTGTTGCTAACCTCATTCTTACTGATAGTTCACAATGGAAAAGAAAACGAGTGTGTGTCGCTCATAATGTTGTCCTTTTTTTCCTTTCAGACACGAGAAACCAGGATAACAGTCCCGGTTCGGTGGAAGGTATTTTCGGCTCTAAACCGGCTCTCTTCGCTGCCATCGGAGCCAGCTGCGTCATCTTCCTCCTCATCATTATCATCCTCATAGTCTTGCTCCTCAAGCTTCGCAAGAGAACCCGCAAACACTCGCAGCCCAGGGGCGGAACTGCCCTGTCACTCAGCACTCTGGCCACACCCAAAGGAGCCGCCCAGGCCGGCTCAGAACCGAGTGACATCATCATCCCCCTGCGGACATCAGAGAATAACTACTGTCCGCACTATGAAAAAGTGAGTGGAGACTATGGGCACCCCGTCTACATAGTGCAGGAAATGCCGCCCCAGAGCCCCGCCAATATCTACTACAAAGTCTGAGAGAACAAGAGCGAAGCAACCGCAATAAGAACTCGTTTTTGTAAGGTATCCTGAATCTTTTTTTCATTACCTAACCCCGTCTGCTCCGTGTGCGAGAGGGAGAAGTGGAAAAGAGGAATGAAAAAGACTATGTGGATGATATTCCTCTCAGATTTCCTTCCCTCCGTCCCTTTTCCGAACACTACACTGTGTGTATGTGTGTGTGCCTGTCGCTCTCGATGTGTGTGAAACGGCAGAAAGCCTCTCCAAATTGCGTGGCACTCAGGCACAGACTTCACTGCTGAAGAACAGCCGACAACCAATCACAGAGGGCCGCTAGAGTGACATCACAAAGCAGGAAGCTCTCATTTGTGTTTTTTGTACCATTACGACTACTTAATGGTACTTAGTTTTTTGTCTGTTTTTCATCCATCACAGTGTTTCGTTTTTATCAGTATCAACTCGATTCTTTCGCAGTGTCTCGCTCAAAGAAAATGTCTTAAACACCGTTACGAATGCCGCTCTCTTCCTCACACACTCAATATGTCCTCTCATTTCCTTGCGTCTCTCCAGACATTCATTCATTTGACATGCTGTAGAGGCAACTGAACAAAAACACACACTCGTACTCGTACACACTTTGGTGTTCACAGGTCAGTAACAAACAGCTTCTCGGTGGAAAAGCGAGTGAGTGAAATAGGGAATTTAATATGTAAACACCAGTGTCAGACCTTCCAGAACTCCTAGTCTGCTTTTTGTTCATTTGAGAATTGTTTCAATTGAAATTCTCTCTCCTCTCAGCCGAAAAACACACATAGTTATTTTTTATCTGTTGTCAGTGATGCGTGAAGTGCTGAGTAATATTTGTATCTTGTCATTGTTTTTTTTTAAATTTTATCTCCCAAAGGTTTGTAGGTCAAAAACATCTTTAGGGATTTGCCTCTACACCATGAGCCTATGACCTCTTTTCAGTCACAAACATGCTAACGCGTATCTTTGCATAATTTTGTCCACTAACATGTTTTTGTTTGTTTGGATGTAGACATGGACTCTAACACTATGACCATGTGTATGTAGAGTCCCATGCAGAAGCCAAAAATCCATCGACATACAGAACACATGAAATTATGCCTTCACCTCTCCCTCCTCTCAGATATGCTCATAAATTATCCCTGTTTGCAAACAAACACACAGCAAAAATCCACGAATCAGAGAATCAAAACAAGCTCAACATATCATCCTGGAAAATCTAGTGCTAGATCTATTTTTATATGTACTGCACGGGAAATGATAAACAGCAAACAGTGGCGGCAGGTGTGTTTATGCCTATGGTAATTTAAAATGAGCAGCATTGCATCTGGCCTCCAGCGCAGCCAATCAGAGGAAGCCCAATATTTCTCTCTAGCTTTCTCATAAAATAGATTTTTAAATAATATTTCAATTAGGGTTTACTGCTGTTGTTTTTTATTGTTGTTTCTTCTTAATTTAGTTTCTAAGGCCCGAGATTATGTAAATAATGTATGTTGGGAAAAAATTTTGAATATAAAAGTTCCATTTTATTAGAGACCCTGTTAATGAAAATATAATTAGGATTTTTGAAAATGCAAAAGCTTTTGTAAATAGTCTTTTTTGGAAAAAGACATTTTGTAAGTAAAATGTTTCCTGTCTAATGGTTTTCTCTTTTTATTTTACTTGTTTTTTTCGGTTGGTTTTTGATTAAGGAGACTTAGAGGTCCCTGTACAACGGGTTTTAAAAGGTCAGCCTAAAGCAGCAAAAAGACATTCAAGTCCCTTTACATACACACACTGATACACACTTTATCCTCCCTATTTCACAAGGGGATGGTGGTATTTTTGTTTTATTTCATTTTTACAAATGCTGTGATGGAACCAGGTCAAATATTCCATGACAGGGTTCATGGAGGAGGAAAAGAGGAGAGAGAGAGAGAGAGAGAGTTATTACTCAAGAAATGCCTAAACTCACACACACACAATTACTAACTGACCCACCAGTCATTCTTATAGCACACGATATACATACATATATGTAAACACCATAAGATACAGGGCAAGCACCAGCAAAACTAAACCAGCAACTGCTTGTGCAACTAAACTGAATATTCATGTAAGTTTTTCTGAGCTGTTTATGGCAGTTCAGTTCTTTAGGATTGACATTAGAAGAGCACTTTTTGAAATTCATGGCTTTGTTTTTACCCATAGAAATGCACATAGGTGCACTGACCGCACCAGTCAGCTTATTAAAGTGGATCAGTCACGGTATCACACTGTAACAAAATCATTTTCTTACACATTCATTTTGTCTTGTTTTCCAGTACAAATATCCTGACAACAAAAAGGTTGCTTTGAAAGCAAAATGACAGTACATGTATGTAGTCTTTGTTTCAGAGAAATCTAACAGGTTTTGATGAGGTTTATGCTCACCAAAACAACTGAATTCAGTCCTAAATATTTAGATATTTTACTGGAAAAAGAAAAAAAAATACTGTTTTATTTAATTTATTTTTTTGCATAGTTTTATGGATCAGCGCTGCTGTAGTGGGATCTTATTCAGTGACTGACTGTCTTTTGCTTCAGGCTTTTTGCAGCTTAGCTCACACATTAGGTTTGCGGCACTCTTAACAGCTATAAGGCATACACTTCCTTTGACGTTTGTCTGTACCCTAACAATAAGATGAAAAAAATAGTCATCTTGTTTATCAGATTGGACTTGAGGCTTTGATTCCTCTCTAATGCTGCGGTCAGACACCTGTGATGTTGTGTGGATCTTACTGATATCTGTTAATAACATTTCTCCCAGTGTGGTTGACTTATTTGAGGAGAACTTACTTAAAACCAAGCATTCACGCAAACACACACACACACACACACTCCCCCTCAGGCAAAGAGACAGATTGGTGGTGACTTTTGACCCTGTAAGGATTATCACAATATTATGAAAAAGACAAATCTATTGAGAAAACCTTCTCCATGGCCTAGATTCATCTCATCACACACAATTCATCCACTCTTTCACAAAATGTACTTGTTCATAGAGCGGGTCAGTGCAGTGATGAGGACTTAGGCCAACCGCGACTCCCACAAAAAAGCTTGTGCTGAATATCATTTCCTCCTGCTGTTGCTGATTTTTTTTTATTATTATTATTCAGTGAACTACATTATTATTGTTATAATGTTCTTTTACTAAGATTTTGTTGCAGATTTCAGTATTATTGATTTAAGTTGTGATGTATGTGTTGGCAGTGCTGATGCCCCTGTGGCGACAGTGGTTTTTTGTTTTGGTAGAATTCACACAGTGTCCTCAGAGTTCCCCGATATATGACACTAAAGCCAAGTCTCAGCCCTCAGAAAGCGTTTTAAAAGGATAAATAAAGTTTTTTCCTATGGAAGCTGCTCGTCTCGTGTTTTTGACTGCTTGTCTGCTTGAAAGACACAATGAGAGAATGAATGAATTTCAAGTGTTCATGTGTGTTTGCAGCAGTCGCTTTCTGTCCAGTATACTCATGCTATATGTCAGATTTTCTATCTTGAAAACACAAACTGTGCTGCTGTTTCAAACACAACAAGCTGTCTCAGCGAGTGACGCCCTCTGTGTCACAAATATTTCATAATGCCTCTGGGTATCTGTCCCCGGCCACTCAAGACTCACACACAAACAGTCTTGTTTGACTTTAGCGCATTAAACTTTCAGTGAGTCTATAGTCAGTCAGTGGTTGCAGTGCAGAAAGCATTCTGTCTCATGTCTATCGGCATTTGTGGAAAATGTCTGTCTTCTGCCATCTGCTATTTTGATCTAGGTTAGCATTATGCTATATATATAATATATATATATATATATAAAAAAACATTTGAACCATATTTCTGATTTATCATGCTAGTGTTAACAACTGATAGTGTTAACAAAAGCAAAAACACATTTTCTGAAGCAACGTGCCATTTTACCTTGCTTCGACAAGTCCTTGAGCTCTCTTACTGTTCCTCGTAATCAAACGCTCTGCAACACAAGTGCAATGCAGTATCAGGTGAGCTACAGAGCAAGTTCACTACATCAGAAAAGCCATACATATGGGGAGAATATGTGATGCAGACATCAAAATTGTAGAAGGAACCATCTGCATAAAAATAAATCGTTATAAATCGATAATCTACCCCGTAATAATAATTTGCGTGAAAAGGAATTACAGTTGTTGGTGTTTTTATTGCCTCTAGCATTAATGGCAGCTGGAAACTGCAGTGAATTATGTATAAACAAGTTTTTAAACTTTTGCAAAAATGTAGGTAGAGACACGTATTTCCAATGAGCCTTTTGAACTACAATGCAAAATGTGCCATACAGTTATTTTGACTATTGGGGTGATGATCATAATGACAAACTAGTTCAGCAACGGAGATATAATTGTATTTAGGAATGCATATAATTTACTATATATTCACTAATATATCATTAAAGTTTTGAGTGTGCGAGACAGAGAAACAAGGAGACTTAGAGAGTATTAGGCATGTCATGTGACAGGTTATCAATCTGCACAAGAGTGATATTAGATTTACTGCCCACTCACCCCTAGTGCATTCTGGGTAAATGCCGTGGGCCCTGCAAGCTTCTATCTGCTACTATTACAGCCCCCAGACAGAGGGAGAGAGAGATTCTACAGAGAGAACCGGAGGAGGGAGTTCAGCGGGTGAAGTTAGACATCAGTGCAAAGACTTGAAAACAGAAAGAAAGAGAAGGGACGATATACATAATTCTGTGAAAGATTGATTTTATTTGATCATCTGTTTGATGATGCAGCACTAGATGGAAGAGAACAATCGAGCCTGAGATATCTCATCTCGTCAGTAATGCAATCAGACTTGAACACTGAACTGCTCCCTGCAGCTGCCATCAGATCACACTTGATTATTATCCTGTGAAATGGTGTCCTCCTGTTTCCAGACACGCACAGTTCCTGTATCCTCATAATTTCACATTTCAAAATGCTCAACAGCTTTTTAAGAAACAGGCTACTTCAGTTGGTCGAACATTTGAAATGTTTAAAATGTATAATAAACAATCTTCATTATCACACATTCATTATACATTTATCAAACATTAGATATTATATAAATTCTCTATACATCTATATAAAATGGTTACAATAACATAACTGACTGTTCAAAAGATAGGGATCAGTATTTATTTAACAGTATTTATTTAAAGATTGGGATCAGTATTTTGTCAGATTTATCTAACCTAACTTCTCAGGACAATTTTGTCCCCAAACTACAGCTTAAACCCTCATAGGTAAACACACTCACACATACAGAGTAGTGTTTTATCTGCCATTGGTCTCTCAGGGTGTATTTGTGTACACTCAGGATGCGGGTGAACGCTTCATATGTGGTGCTGCAAGAGTTCAGAGAGCTGCAGTCGGGGAGTAACATAAATATTGAACAATAACGTCTGCTACCTTGCAAAGCAGAGAAGGAGAGATTGATGCCTGGAGAGTGAGAGACAGACAGAGATGGAGGTCGAGGGATTATACAGTTATTTCATTCGCTTCCTCTATTTTACTTGGTTTAATTGTTAATTATTTTTTAACGAGCTCTGTAGAAACAAGTCTTTCCTCCTCTAAATCACTGTTTCCTCCACTCCACTCTCTCCTCTCTCCCTTCTCTGTATAGGACACTTTACAGGGATAGCAGCAGGAGAACTCTCTTTCTCTCACTGTCTCTCTGCTCTTTCTGCCCCCTAACTCGCTCTAATTCCCAGTGATCTGTAGGGGGGAAGTTTCAGCGTGGTTTCATTCATGTCCTCTCATTTGTCTATGTCAGTAGAGTAGCTGCTCTCTCTCTTTTTCTCTCTTTTTTTTACCTGAATACCTGAAAACTTTGGATTATAGCTGTAATTTTTGTGAACTACACTTGAAACCCAGTGCGCACGCGCACACACATACACACACACATATATATATATATTTCAGGCATATGTAATTTCAATTAAGTCAGTACTATAACTGTATAAAAATACTGCTAACACTTATTAACTTATTAACTTACTTATACATTATTAAAAAGAGTCCAACTTTAGGTCTGTATTCAAAAGTGTTCATGAATTATAACAATTTAAGTTTGGATAGTGCACTTTCACATCTATGTTCAAAAACGAGGGGTGACAGTTAAAGGGTTAAAATCAAAAGTTGTATCTTTTAAATGAATGGACCTGAGCTAACATGAACTAACAATGAACAGTTGTATTTTTATTAACATTAACATAGATTAATAAATAGTGTAACAAATGTATTTCTCATTGTTAGTTAATGCATTAATTAACATTAACTCATGGGACCTTATGTGAAAGTGTTACCAAAATACTTGTACCAAGATTACATAGAAGAATCAACAGAAAGAGTTCAAGTGCAATGCAGTATTTTTCGACAAGGATTGAGCTTTATTTTAAAAACGTGTAAAATGTATTACTTTAGATTAGACCTAAAAAACGAATTAAATATTTTAATATTTTTTAATTTTTTATTTCAGCATTCAGAAAAAAAAAAAAAATCAAGTGATCAAATTGACATTGACAGATGATCAAATAAATAAAGCACTAATTTAAGCTGCTTTATAGCATAAAAAGCCCTATAAAAACACACACAAAAATACATGTTTCTCATTCTTTCTTAAATCCACACAAGTTCACAAACACGTCTCTCTCAATGTTATTGGTATCATGCCAATATTAGTTCCTAAACTGTAAATCATATTAATCGTCTAAAGGGTGTGTGTGTGTGTGTGTGTGTGTGTGTGTCTAAGAAACAGAAAATCACTTACGCATGACAGAAACAGACAAAAACTTGCACAAGGCAGTCATATTTTGTGTATGTGTGGAGGAGGGTGACTGTATGAAAAGTGAGGCTGTAGACACAGAGGTTCATCTGGCAGCGGCATTAAATCTTAATGTATTTATGATGAAGCCGCATGGACATGATAGCGAAGCTGAGGAACCTGCTTTACTTCCTCACTCTGAGACTGAAACGCTTGTCCAGAACTCGCTGAACCTCGCTCTTAAATTCTGTCTGATGCTGGAAAACCAGCCTGCTGGAAATGTGACCTAAATACCACACCACATGCTCACCGAGTTTCTCTCTCTCAAACACACACACACACGTCCACAGCAAATACAGGACATATCCAACGGCATATAAAACAGATGAGAGGTCATGAACCATCCAGAGCATCTCTCTAATGAGAGAGTTTATGTGTGTGTTTAGTCAAACAGCAACCGATTGCACTGCATTCATATTTTGAGTGTCTTCCAAAAAGGAATTGTTGAGGTTAAAATAAGGTGTGCCTGATAATTAGAGCAATTTATACTTAAAAAGCACATATGCATAAATATACATAAATATTATCATTTATATTCCAAAAATAAAAACCGAAACAGAATGACTTATTTTCTCGGAGTCTGGCTGGCTAAAGTCTTGGCTGGACTCTGACATTCTGCTCACCGCATTTCATAATGGTGGTGAACAAACTAGAATTGCTACTTCAGGGATTACTTTCCAAATGCACTGCAGCAGGATTTCACATTAAGAATCTATAAATGAGGGTTTTATGACTAAAGATTGAGTTGTTGTGTAGTTTTTAGGTTTAAGGCAAATGTTAAAACTCTGAGAGGCCTGAAAACAAGCAAGAAAGAGGTTCCTATAAATCAACAAGATTTGTGCAACTTATTGGGAAAACCCAAGATTTATTCAGGATGTGAAACATGACCAAACCCTGTTCCAAATGAGTCTTGACCCACATGGATAATTTTTTCTCTCTCTCACAGAGAGGTGCTCTAAGGGTCAGGCAATTGGCATGTTGTGAAGTGGACTTCTTCAAATTTGCAAAGGCCGATGAACTGTAGTCATTTAGATTTCATTTCTGAAATAGTGCCCTTAAACAGATGAGTTCATGAACTGCCACTGCATCCTGTTTTCTGTGGAAACCTTTTGACAAATCTGCACCAAAGGAACACTCTGAAATTCACCAATCATCAGTCCATTTATATTAATGCTGTTATACATTGTATATGAGACCCAAGCGGCACTGCTGACAGCCAGACTTATAAGCTCATCTTGGTATCATCTTGGGAGACCATGAGTGTTTAGAGTTTTGATGAGGTGTGTGTATGAAGTTAGATAAGGTTATTTATATGACTGTATAAACCAACTCGACGTTACATCCATGTGTCGCTCGCACGCACGCACGCACGCACACACGCACGCACGCACGCACACGTCCACGTGTCATACACACACACACACACACACACACACACACACACAGATCTCTGTGGATCCAGTCAGACTGCCAGGTTAGGCATGTCAAACTGAACCCAGCAGAATGGAACCACTGTTTCAGCAGACTT